CCATCCATAAACACAAATTTTACTCTGGATGGTCATCATTAATTTGAATTCTAATCCCAGCGCTTCGGATTTTTTTTCATAAACAAAATTTCAGCAGTTTGTCTGTCATGAAATTGCGTATACAAATTTAATAATTAATTAGGCTTAGTTAGGCTTTCGCCAAAATAAGTGTAGTAAGACAGACAGGTAATGCAATAAATGTTTGTAATAATCAATTTTTGTTAGCCTTCGTTGTTTTGTTTAAGGTTCATTTGTATAGTGATAAAAGTATCAGTATCTTTGGAAATGTTTTGCCATTTATTACAAGTTTATGATTTTCATTTGTAGTTTCATTGCGAAGTAGCTGCATGTAGTGATGATCAAGGCATTCTAACCAGTGAAATGATACAGCTTTTTAAACATACGGGAGCCCTGCTGCAGCTTATATTGCCTCGTAGGCATGTAGGTCATTAAGCGGTGCCACAGTGTACAGTTGTCCGCACTGATTCTAACAAATAAAATGATAGATGCACCTGTGCGTTTCAAGCGCCAAAAATGCTAAAATGTTGTAGAGCATCGGAAGGTATTTACGAAGAAGATGATATTCGAAAACGTTATTTAACCCAGTTTTATTAAATTATTCATATTTATACTATATGTCATTGTAACACGGGTCAGTTCTTGCATGAAGAGTTTGTTCAGTTTACCCGCCCAATGTGTTGCTTCCAGTTCAAGCCGTGCGTTAATTTTTTTTAAAGTGGTTGTTTGTCGAGCAGGGACTTAACGCCTTGACCGGATCGGAACGTTGGAAACACATTCTGAAGCGTCCGTCTCCGTGACCCAGAAGGATAAGTGATAATCGAAACAGCCTAACTGATTGACTTAAGCTCTGCTAACGGTGCAGCAAGCCGTGAAAGAGTAGCAAGTCCATTGCGTGGGAATAATTAGAACCGTATCGTGTTTTTCTGGCCATACAGTCTTGCTATCCGATTTGCCTTGAACATCTGGTAGCCAACCTGATAAGGATGAAATTTAAAATCTTATCAAGGTGTCATTTTGTATCGAGTAATTAAAAAACTTTCCTTTCCTATGGACGTATAAAACCTTGTAGACAAGATCTGCAGATGGTGATGCGAAATCACATGGATAGTTTGACCATGGAAGAATTGCGTACGTAATTCGCTTTTTCCAGTGTTTTTATCGGCAAATTTTTTTAGTTGATTTGAGTTGATTCATTTGAGAGGTCTGGTATCAAATCTGTTGAGAAATTTTGCTGAGATAGACATGCAGAAAGACTGGAGTTGTGCGTTAATGAATGTAGCTGAGAATTCCGAAAAGCCGTTGAGACGGATCCTTCAAAACATTTGCATCGATTTGCACATACCAAAGTTTTCGTTGTTTATCGTTCTTTCTTTTAGTTTTTTGAGAACTACTATCGCTATCTACATGTGCATTTTTCCAGGTATCACGTCTCATCTGTTCACGTATGTGTTTCATTGTCAAACAGGAAAATCGGACTGGAAAACGGGAGTTGTACCCCCGTTCAAGAAGGGAGTCCACAAGGAGTGCTCCAGTTATAGGAGCATTATGACATTGAGCCTCCCAGGGTAAAGTCTATGCAGAGGTGCTGGAAAGGTGCCGCGGAATAGCTGACACTAAGATACAAGAGGAACAGTGTGCCTTCCGGCCCGGTCAAAGCACCTCTGAACATATATTTGCCCCGTGTCAGATTGTTGAGAAATCGTGGTAGTACGCCTACATGTCTTTTGTTGACCTAGAAAAAGGGTATGATCGGATCCCACGC